ATCTATCGATCTATCTGTCTATCTGCGTCTCTATCTATCTATCCATCCATCCTCCATCCAGCGATCGATCTTCTATCTATGTTCAGTTCCTGAAAGAGCCTCGTCTCCACACGTCCAAACCTTGTCTGAGCATCTTCGGGGCAGGTTCGAGAGGGCACCGCCCTTCCCTGGGAACGATGTCTGAGACGTCGAGCCAGCTGCTGTAACGCGCTGCCAACCCCAGGAAATCCCAAAGCCACCGAAAACTCAGCCCGATGAGCTCTAGAGCCCCATAGCCCATAGCCACTTTCAACTTGTAACCGAATTCCCATCACCCTTTCAAAAACAAGCCCTCTAAAGAAGCCTTGAGCTGGTAGGCCCATTGCATACGGCAGAAAAAAGATGCCAATGATGGTCCGACGAGCAGAGATTTGGTGCGAGAAAGAGGGGGCGGGGCGAGCAGTAAATCCTAGACCTTGCACCCCAAGTCTCGACATGCAAGCTTTCAGAAATGAAGCAAAGGCTGCAGGAGCTTGCTTCCCACCCGAAGTCATTGCTTCTGGATTTTCTGCCTTCGAACCCGATTTAGGGTGTAGAGTTTAGGGTTTNNGTTTACGGTTTAGGGTTGAGGGCTCAAGCAACCAACAAACAAGCCAGCTTGCATCCTGAGGCACTACACGCACCAAGCCCCTGAAGTCTCAATCTCCTGCACACAGCGTTGAAGAACCCGAAAATGCGTCCGAAAAGCTTCCACTCCTCCACTGTCGCCCGATAGCCGAAGGCTTTAAGGAGCCTTGGCGAAAGGCTGTTTGGGAAGCCTAAACCCTAAACCCTAAACCCCGTAAACCCTAAACCCTAAAATCCTAAAAGCCTAAAACCCTAAACACCAAGCTGGTTCCCGCCCGTCCCCCTCGGCTAAGGGCACTGACGACCCGAGCTGCAAAGTCCCTTAAACTCCGAGATTCCGCAGAGTTCATAAGTGTTCCTCCCCAAACCCTATGGGTAGTTGTCAAAATTATGGTCCCTTTTAGGGTACCCTAAATAATAGGTGCCGTATTATAAGGACCCAAAAAGGGACCATCATTTTGACAACCACCCCTATAGTCTAATATACACCCGAGTGTCCTAAGCCCTGCACGCCTATAAGGCCCTTATATAGCTGGAACCCTATAACCTAATATACACCCCTATATCCCGAGCCCTACGAGCCAAAAAAGGCCCCAAGCCCTACACACCCCAAAGCGCCCTGGGCTATAAATCCCCACAACTCTCGGCCTGAAGCACTACCCAGAGAGCCCAATACCCCTTAAATAAGGAATATACCTTAAATCATAGGGGCCTTAATATTATGATTTAAGGTGTATTCTTAATATTATGATTTAAGGTGTATTCCTTAATTAAGGGGTATTGGGCTCTCTGGGTAACCCCAAGGGTCCATGTGCCCAACTAGTAGATACTATTGGCCTTCGATTCAAGTATCCCTATTTTGGGTAGTTTGGGGCCAAAGTGTCTACTATTTGGGTACATGGACCCTAAACCCTAAACCCTAAACCCTAAGCCAAAGTGTCTACTATTTGGGTACATGGAGCCTTGGGGGGTGGGGGCTCAAGGGTCGCGAGGGGAAGCCATGGGTCTGCGCAAGCGCCTCCCTCGTCCGAGGACGCGAATCCCTGCACCGGACTTCGAACGCGCGGAGGATAGGTAGTATTATTAGGGGTACCCCTTAAAGGGTACCCCTTCTGAACCCTGCTTTTGGCTCTCTTAAAAGGGACCTTATTGAGAGGGTCTATATCCCCAAGGGTCCCCCTAATCCTAGCTCCCAGAGGATGCGAAGTATTACATGCGCCGGCTGGCAGACTTCAAAGTTTCGGGGGAGGGTCCTGAAAAGTGCCTGGACTTACTGCGCACCATGCGGGAGAGGTGTGTGGCAGTCGACAGAATGCACTGCACGGCGGCTTTGTCTGCTTGCACCTTACCAGCCTCCTGGCCATTCGCCGTCGAAATGCTGGGGATGGTGCAGGCAGCTCAGATCAAGGCAGACGTGGTCTTGTACAGCAGCGCAATCAGCGTGCTGAGCCGGGCAAGGTGGCAGCTTGCTGCACAGCTCTTCTGGAACCTCAGGGCCATGCGAGTTGCCAGCGACATCACGGCTGTCACAGCCGCCTTGCATGCGTACTCCACTGGGACTCGCTGGGAGGCTTGTGCCTGGCTCTTAAGCCACACGAGCCACTTGGATTCTGTGGCCTGTACCTGGGTCCTTGTTGGATACAAGTTTACATTTTTGTTATACTAAAACCCAAGAAGGATTAACCATGATCATTTTTAGTATATCTATACTAAAACCCAATAAGGATTAACAATGATCATTCTTAGTATATCCCCAACAGGGAACCAGGTACCACGGCAGTCAGCTCGTGCGAGAAGGCTCAGCGCTGGGAGATGGCCCTGGGCTTCTTCGCCACTGCCGTGGCTCAAGGGATCCACAGGGATGCGGCCATGTACAACGCCACCATTGCCTGCTCTTCTCAGGGCGGGTTGGGATGGCTTGGAATACTTCAGCTACTGCATGAGATGACACAAGAGAGCATCTTGGCTGCTGAGTCGGTAACCTTTGCCGCTCTTGTGTTCTACAAACCCCTTTCAAGCGCCTGTCAGTGAGCAGGTTATGGCCATTGCCTCGTGTTTTGGGAAGAAAACTCGCTGTTTCATCCAGAAGTAACAGTGAGCCCCTCAGTGAACATAGCAGGGAGGCACATTGTAATTGTAAGGTCATCTGAGGCGAATAAAGTTTACAGTTTACAGTTTAGGTTTAAAGCTTCAACAGACCTTTGTCCCTTACATCACAGTACCGAGTGGTAAGGTATCCAGAAATCCACCACCACCTGCAACTCTGTGCTCACAGCTTTCGAGAGGGCGGGTTGCTGGGAGCAAGCGCTGGCGTTCTTCAGGGAGATGCCTGGGTTCTCCCTTGTCCCAGACCTGATCTCATACAACGCAACGATGACGTCCTTTGAGAAGGCGCTTCGGTTTAGGGTCGTGAAAGGGGGCTCAAATTCATTATGGTTTTGCGGCTTCGGGTCGGGACCACCTGAACCCTAAAGAGGTTAATCCAGTTGCGGCTCGATCTCTGAAGCCCTCAGCCGGAAAGACAAAGACGCCTCAAAGCCATACCCAAACGCCCCAACGTCGACCCGCAGGCGAGCCGATGGGAAGAAGTCCTCTCTCTTCTGGTGGAGGCCAAATCTCGTAGAATGGGAGACTGGGACGATTTATTTCTGGTTTGGGGGAAGCGGAGGGTTGTGGGGATGTGAGTTTCAGAGCTCTTAATTTCTAGTGTTTTGAATGTACGGTTGTGGGTATAGTGAGAGCAAGTTAGACGACCCTTTCTGAACCCTACTTCTGGCTTTCTTAAAGCTACCTTATTATTGAGAGGGTCTATATCCCCAAGGGTCCCGCTAATCCAAACTCCCAGACTCCCTGATTTGCTACACCCAGCGGAGCTACAAGTTCAAGGAAGCACCAAATCCTTGATATCAGAATCAGCTGTGGCACCCCCCGCTACTCATTACGGGAGACCTAAACTCCCGAAGCCCTACATCTCTCAAACCACTAAACCCTAAAGCCTGAACCCTTCAAACCCTAAACCCCAGACCTTAAACCCTAAAACCCTAAAACCCTAAACCCTAAAACCCTAAAGCCCTAAACCCTATACACCACCGAACTCCCTAAGCCCAAAGGAGATGGCATCAGCTACAACTGCTGCATCGCTGCCTGTCAGAAGGCCTTGAACTGGCTCCTAGGTCCTGAGTCGTGCTCCCTTTTTTCAGGTTCTAGGGTGTAGGTTTCAGATGTTTATATATATATATGTATATATATATATATATATATGGAACCCCCCCTATTGACCAACCTCCATTATATTGTGATTGCAGGGGGGGAGAGGCGAGGAAGCAAATTCATAACAACACCAAGCAGTAGATATCACAAAACTAAATTAAAAGCGTACCAAAGTTGGATTTCGAATTGTGTGATCAACCAAAGACCAAAAAAACAAATCTCCAGGCCCATGTTCCCGAATGTGGTGACCAAAGAAACCAAAAAACCAAGAAACCCCAAAACATCAAACAAAAAAACAAAAACAAAAAAAAAAAACAAATCTAGAACACTATGGTCCGGAACTTAGTTCTGATTTTGTTTCTTGGTTTTTTGTTTAATGCCGAGACTTTTGGTTTCTTTGGTTTTGGTTTTAATTTACGTAGTTTTCGTTATTGTTTTGTGACATATCTTCTGTATTTACGCGGCAGGTGTATAGCACACTCAAATTTGCTTCCTTTCCCCTTGCGAGCACATACTATATATTATTATGCCACGTATACATTAGTATATTGGTATAGTTAGTATAGTGGTACATCGGTACATTGGTGTATGAAAATACTGATTCTTTAGTACATCGTTAAGCTCACGAGGTGGTATTTCATTTCAGTAAGATGTATATTCGTATACAGTAGTATGTGTATAAATGTATTTTCTAGTATTAATTATATATGATGATTATTTATATGAATATGATTCGGATTATTGTGTTGGCTTTTTATCTGTGTTAATGTCAGTGTTAATATCAGTATTGAAAAGTTATTAACATTTTCATAGGTATTAATATTTCGAGAATATGAATATCATTGGTAGTTTTCGNNTTCGTAGGAGCACAATTATTCCTAGTACTAACATTACTAAATAAGTATACGTGAGAGTATTAGTATTGAAAATAATCAATATGAATATTTTTTAATATTAAAACTAGTACTAATATGAATATGAATACTGATGCATTTGCATTATGCAGAATAAGAATATGAGTATTAGTATTCACAGGAGTGGTACTTAAACATTAATGTATGTATTTGCATTGATATCAGCGTTAGTATGTATATTGGTTTGAGTATTAACAGTACTATTTATTTTTGATATAAGCATTAAGAAAATAGTATTAGCATCAGTATGTATATTGGTATTCATATTTCTGGTAATATGAATATGAGTAGTAGTATTCGTAGGAACACAGATATTCACAGTATTAACAGTACTATGTGTATAAGTATTCGTGAGAGTATTAGTGTTCATG